AACTGCGCACTGTGGATTGCCGGATCGGCTTTCACCGTGGACGAAGCGGAATCCAGCCCTGGGTCATCACATGTGGTTGCCGCAAGCCCGCCGGACGCTCCTTCGTCGAATCTGCCGGCCGCCCCGTTCCCAAGCTCACTCTAGCCCGCAGTGTGTGGCGCTGTGTGTTTTGTGAAAGTGAAACTACTTTGTTTGGCCTTCCAAAAGAGGACACGACTAGAAATCAGTGGTTAAGTTGTATTTACAACACTGTTCCAGAACACTTCACTTCATATTCAGATGTGTGCAGCACATTTTATGGAGCTCTGTTTCCTGATCCTGGAAGAGTAGACTACAATGCTGGCTGTTCTGACTCACAGATTGTAAGTACGTTTTTTATACAAATATTTAGATGTGTGCAGCGCATTTTATGGAGGACTGTTTCCTGATCCTGACAGAGTAGACTACAATGCCGGCTGTTCTGACTCAAAGACTGTAAGTACGTCTTTTATATTTAAAGAGTTTTTATACTTTATATATTTAAAGCGAGTTTTTGGGCAGTGTAGAGTAGGGCTTGTTGTTTGTCATTTCTCCGATCACAAATGCAGACATGGTTTTATGTTTACGCGGCGCGATGCAACGCAACGCGTAAAAAGACAGTATAAGTAATTATAATCCGTAATTATGTCCCCACTCGATGCAACAAATGCCTTGTTTATAATGGGTTTTAATATTTTTGTCTAGTCGCTCCGGCCAAACAGGGCATCACAGTATGGTAGGGGCGTAACGTTTCCGTCACACGCTTGAGGTATTCGGCCAATCACAATGCACTGGATAGCTGGCCAATCAGAGCACACCTCACTTTTCAGACCGATGAGCTTTGTAAAAATCGACGCGTTTCAGAAAGGCTGGGCATAGAGGAGAAACAATAATGTACAGTATGTGGAAAATAATGTGTTTTTTTTTTTTACCTTAAACTGCATAAACACATTTCATTACACCAAATACAAAAAATAGTGTTATTTTTAGCAACATCACATGACCTCTTTAAACACTGTTATAATTATGAGGGGGTCCTTGGAAAATTTTCTCCCCTGTAAGGGGTCCCTGGCTCCAAAAAGTTTGAAAACCCCTGGTCTAAGTCTTACTGCTCTGTGTGCAGGTGATTGTTTTTAATTATTGTGTTAATTAATTTAGTTGTACTGGTTAATTTGCATGTTCTGTGTTCTTGTCTTTTTAAAAGTCATGTTATTTTCTTTAAATTAACATATATAGAGTCACATAAAATGGATGGTGTAGTCTATGTATTTCTTGTCTCTTATACTTCTGTTACCATTCTAATCCAAAAAGTGTAGGGGAGACGTGAGTGGTGAGCAATCCGACAATTTGTCATCTTTTTATTCTTCCTAACAATACTACAACACAACTACGGGTTTTCCAGTACATACAACGTAACACAGAGGAAATTAAAGGAACGCAGAGAAATCAATTCTTGTTTCATGAATACACAAATATCCAGTGTATTTTATTCTTCCTAGTTAATAATGTATGATCACAATGGGTATATAAGCAACTTACTTCCACGTTCCGTAAACCATAGTGCATCACTTCTGGTTTTGTACGCTCTACGCTGACATGGTGCTGCTTTGTACACGAAGCCTTCAGGAGCTGCCAAAGACGAAAATGTCCATTGGATATTTATTTTATTTATTTAGTCATTTAGCAGACGCTTTTATCCAAAGCGACTTACAAATGAGGACACTAAAAGCAGTCAAAACTAACAAAAGAGCAACAATATATAAGTGCAAATGACAAGTCTCGGTTAGCCTAACGCAGTACACGTAGCAAGGTGTGTATATATATACACACACACACACACACACAAAGAAAAACAAGTAGATAGAATAGTATTTTTTTCTATTCTAAAGCTAGTGTTTATTTTTTGTTGTTGTTTTTTAAAATAAAAAAAGATAAATATAGATAAAGTAGAATTAAAATAGAATAGAAAGTGTTAGAGTTAGAGGGTCAAATAAAGGTGGAACAGATGTGTTTTTAGTCATTTCTTGAAGATGGCTAAGGACTTATTGCTCGGATTGATTTGGGCAGGTCATTCCACCAGGAGGGAACAGTTAATGAAAAAGTCTGTGAAAGTGATTTTGTGCCTCTTTGAGATGGCACAATAATACGCCGTTCACTTGCAGAACGCAAGCTTCTAGAGGGCACATAACTCTGAAGTAATGAATATGGATATATATGGATATGGATATATCGATATGGCCACCAAAATGGACAAGGGATTTTAGATATATGCTTCCTTATACACAATGGACTACGAGGTTATGTAAGCTAGTGGAACAAAAATGCTGTACAATATGTCACTATCTAGCTAACGCTAACATAATCTACCTAGTCTTTTTATGGACGTATGGCTCTACATATTCACATTAACACACTGGGAATTTTTTCACCAGTATCAAATAAAGACAGGCTGACTGTTGATGTCAGCATTAGGGCAGCGTCTCACAGGTCTATGAGGAAAAGTGAGAAGCCACACAGCCTGAGAGTAACGTTAGGGATGGTGTGGGTGTTCTGTTCCAGTTCTGTTTTGAATTTTGCTATGGGTTTGATTGTATCATATAATAATTGCTGTTAATAGTGTTCATCGTCTGTTTGATTACGTTTTTAATTGATTTTTCCGTACATTTCTGCCATACATTAACTGACAGTCACCACTGATAAGCTACTACTAAATATTGTAGAAACTGTGAAGTTGCTTTGCAATGATTTGTATCATTAAAAGCGCTATTCAAATAAACTTGAATTGAATTCTATCTGTTCCAGTTCAGTGAAAGTTTTTATTAAGCCATTCAGATTTGGAATAAGAATAGACAAATCTATGATCATGACAAGTCTCTTTGCTGTCCTGAGAGGCTTGGTAAAAGCATGCACAGTTACCTTTATAAAATTAACCATGGATTTATTATAGTAAATGTGTAGTAACCATAGTTTTTTGGCGGACTGATTACCATTTGTATAACCACAGTTTTACTGTAAATACCATGGTTACACTGTAATTAGTGTTGCAAAATTATGGTTAATTTATGTTTACAATGGTTTAACTACAATAACCATTTTTGGTTTTAATAAAATAGGTCATCACCAGACCAACACTCAACCGGCCGGAAGGAGGAATCAGGTGAGTTAATTAAAGAGATTGTTCACCCAAAAATGAAAATTCTGTCATGACTTAGGGTGTATTCACACCTGTCTTGTTTGGTTTGATTGAATCGAACTCCAGTTAGTTTTACCCCCTTGGTGCAGATCTTTTGGGCAGGTGTGAATACAGCAATCGCACTCAGGTGCGGACCAAACAACTGCACCGAGACCCAGCTGAAGAGGAGGTCTCGGTCTGCTTCCAAACGAACTCTGGTGCGGTTGAATGGATGAGCCAATGAATGGATGACCTTAAGCACACGTGTGGTTTTGTTTATAGTTTCTGGTTCACTTGCAAAAAGGGCTGTGTGAAAGCAAACCGCACCAAACAAAAAAAATCAGCATTGTATTTGGTCCGGACCAAAGCAAGTGAACCAGCGGACTTTCCTGGTGTGAATACACCCTTACTCACCCTCATGCCGTTCCAAACCCGTAAGACCTTCGTTCATCTTTGGAACACAAATTAAGATATTTTTGATAAAATCCGAGAGCTCAGACCCTGCATAGACAGCAGCACAACTGAAATGTTCTCAGGTTCAGAAACGTAGCAAGGACATCGGTAAAATAATCCATGTGACATCAGGGGTTC